GTTGAATGGTAATAATGGCTTTAAAAAGACAGTGAATTGCTTGGGCAAAAAAAAATATTTTCTTAATTTTATAATTCCACATTGTATAAAATGCTTGCAAATGAACAAATTTTCTATATAAATGGTAAGTAAAATTACCAGCATTTTAGATCACATTTAAATTACTTTTGTATAGGTGTTCAAATACTAAAAAATAGTTTTTTGTCCTCACAAAAATTTTATGAAAGTTATTGTAAAAGTATTTATATACATTTACTTATTTAATAAATCATTCTAAGGAAAATTACCAATTACTTACATTTGTTTAAGGAAAGTGTCCTTAATATAAATTGGCTGTCCTTTGACTCATTTCAAAAAATGTTATTTTGTTTAGATTAAAAGATTACCAAACTCTCTCTCCTTCACAGTTGAAAACATTACAATACAGATTTCTAAAATATGCCATGATAATTGGAGTTTTGTAAGAGATAAAAGTCAAAAAAATAAAAGCATGGTACAATATACCAGGCAAACCATCTTTTCGATTTACCAAGAAAAACACAGCTTGTCACATTCTGAGGAAACAGACTTTTTGTCATCGTTAGACATCAAATACAAGGCTGCTTCTGTCCTTGCTGTCCCTTTTACCATTGATCAGTGTTTTCATTTCTTATTACATTGATTCAAAATTGCTCCCTTTGAGAAGGGGTGGAAGGGCATCTCCTGGTACCATATCCCGCTTCTCTTGTAAGTGCAGCTCTGTTCAGACTAAGCCTACAAGATTCCAACAGTTGATGCTGAAACATGGAAATCAGCCTTACTTCATCATTACTAACTCCACTATTTTCCCATTAAAAATAGACTTTTTGCTTTTAAAATATTTTGGGATTTGTGGGTAGACAGCTGGATTATGGGAAACATAGTGGGGTATACAGACGATGACAGTGCTGCAAGCATTACATATTTATTCCCCAATATCTGAATGTAAATAAAGCCAGAATCACAAAGGTCAAACGCTGAGAATCCAAATAAACAATGCCAAAGTCAATTTTGCCATGAATGACAAACTAGACTTTGATTTATCTGATGTCACATCATTTAGTTCTTTAAGGTGTTCATCATAGTGACAGGATTATTTAGAAAAATAAATTGTGTACTGTTTATCAGCACTAGGTATTTTTTCCTTATCAATTCCATGATGACAGACACGCACATATGTGCTCTTGCCTCAGGTTCTATCATAACTCAGACCTGCAGGTAGAAATTGAAGAAAATTTTCCCCAACCCTCAGTCCTCATCCAGATTTCCCTTAATGAAAGCCTCCGACTAATAATTAAAGCAATAAATATATAGTGAGTGTTTACTAAGTTCTCAATGATTTTAGGAACTAAGGATCCAGCAGTGAAAAGGACATCAGGCAAGTAAGTTCCCAGAGAAACAGATACTAAAAATTTAGGTTGTAAATTACTATAAAAATGTAAGAGAAAATTTTTTACATATAATACATGTCTTTTATTTAGTGTATGAATGTTATCAACAATGATTATAGCAATTGTTAATATGTATCAAGGTTTTACCTTGTGTCACGTGCTGGGCTTCAAAGTATATACATATTATTGATGCAGTTCTCACAATCAAGCTATGATCATTCTGATTTTACAGCTGAGATAAAAGTGAAACTTTGAGAAGTGAAATAATTTGTATATATGTGTTGGAACCAAAAGTTCAATTCAGGATCTATGTGATCAGAGAAAGAGTCAAAGGTAATCTTTGAGCTATTATGTATGTAAACATAAGTGAATAGAAGAAAAAAACATCAGTACGAGTATAATACAATACTGCCTCTACTTTTAATGTGCCTTTAGCATGTGTAAACAAAAGAAAAATGATGCTCTCAGAAGGAGGAAGGAAAGTAATTGAGAACTTCAAGTTGAAGATTCTATTTCAAAAGTAAAAAACATGGAATTTGTCTCCTAGGTAATGGAGTAAAACTCATACCTTCTAATTATGGAGACTTCGTAGTCAAATGGTGGGTTATAATTATAGTTTAGTAAATATTTATATAAGAAACTAGATTATAACCCCCCAAATTGAAAATTGAATCTGAGGCAATGGCCATGACCCTGGTGAAGAATGCATATGTAAAGGTGAATGCCGTATTTCATAACTTTTAGTGAATGGAGGAATATCAGTGAACTATAGTAAGAGGATTTCTGAAACATTACTATGTAAGTCTCTTCAGGCTCTAATGAACATGTTGTGCTCAGCAGTCATCTGTACAGATGTGAGGAAAGGATAAATGAGGTCTTGTTAGAGCTTTCTGATAAGATTTAATACGTGATTGCCAGTAGGTTGTCAAGAAAAGGAGGGACAAAGAACGTGCATTTTAAGTTTTCACTAGCAGACTAAATTTAAAAACAAAGAAACACCCAATTCTTCCAGGCAGTGGAGGAACACCAGTGCCTAATGTTTCCAGTGTTTTGGAAGAAAGGCCACCTTTTTCTCCTCAATGGGAAATATCACCCAAGACAGGGGCTTACAAGTTGGGAGGTCACCAAGCCTGTGGAGGAAATAACAAAATACCAGATCTGCTGGTGTTTTACAGGAATTGTGTTCCTTTACCTGTTACTACTCTGAGGTACTGGAAAAATATACAGGAAGTAGTGTGTTTTCTTGCTGTGTCAGGGTGTGAGCATATGTGGACGGGGAGGGATGACACTGGTAGAATGTCTTCAGATGTTCAGCTTTAAATTTGTAACCACACTACAATACTCAAAACATAAAAGTAGTCAATGACAGTGGTTGAATATCTGAACTCTATAAAATAAACTTTTTTTGGTGCACTTTGATTTTGGAGAACCTCAGGTTAATTTCCTAAAGTTTTAACAAAAACTAGAAAAAGTGTGATTTTGTTTAGTATTGAGGTTAGAGACTTATGGAGGACAGTGAACTTGAGTGTTTTAGATCCAGGAATATGAATCCCACATAGAATATGTGTGTCTTGGGATAATATTGAGTACACTAACCGGCTTCAAGTTCAACCTTATTGAAAGATTACCTTCTGCTTCTTCCAATGGCTGAAGATGGCTAAGGGAAAGAAAACTCTTCTCTCCAGGAATATGAATCCCACATAGAATATGTGTGTCTTGGGATAATATTGAGTACACTAACCAGCTTCAAGTTCAGCCTTATTGAAAGATTACCTTCTGCTTCTTCCAATGGCTGAAGATGGCTAAGGGAAAGAAAACTCTTTGAGTAATAAAGCCACGGCCACCAGAAACTGCCAATGTGCATAAAGACTAATCACAGAAGTTAAAGTTTGAAGACAGCTATAACCCTTCAGAAGCCTACTGCTTCGATGAGGAGATGCTGGTATCTTAATTAAAAAATTATATTTATTTATTTATTTATTATTATTTTTTTGTCCTTTTTGAGACCGGCCGCACCGCGCTCAGCCAGTGAGCGCTGTGAGTGCACCGGTCATCCCTATATAGGATCTGAACCCTCTGCGGGAGCGCTGCTGCACTCCCAGCGCCGCACTCTCCCAAGTGCGCCATGGGCTCGGCCCTATATTTATTTTTTTAATAGCACGAAAACACGCAAATGAAAAAATGCTTCAAGCTCTGTATAGTTGCTTGCTCTCGGTCATTTAAATAAGGATTATTTTCATCACCTTCTAAATTCTTTTCTCTTTTTCAATATTACTATCAAAAACGTATACTCCTTTCGTATTTTAAAGGATTTTAAAGAGTATGACAATTACTCATTATAGATCACATTTGAAACAATTTGTTTGCACTAGGATCTTAAGAATATTTCAAAAATGGAAAGGAACTTAAGGCCTTCTGATCTAGTACAAAATTAGTAATTTTTATCATAACAGACACGCATAATATATGTTTGGATATATTACTATTTATTGCTGTTATTTATTACTATTTTAGTTAATTAAACAGATACTACTGATTCTTTGTCTACCTGTAACTCTTCTGAATTTCTTTAGGGAAGTAAACATGAGAGAGAAGATAGAAAATGCAAAATCAAAGTATACATTTACAGGCATCTAGTTGTAGGTAATTCCCAAAGCAAAGGCTCATTCTTGGTCAGAGCCTGAGTTTTGGTCTCAAAGCCCTCCTCGGGGGTCTCAGCTGAGTAAAAATCCCTCTCTAGCTCCATGACTAGCTGAACGTGCTGCTGTCCACACAAAAGGAGACCTTAATGAGAGATCTGCTTATCACTACACATGACAGCAACAAGGGGAGGGGGAGGGCTATATTCAAGTGACATATGACATTTTTAAATAGCTTTAATACAGTTGTTTAAAAAAATAACATTCTACTAGGAAAGAATGTTTAAGAATTAATCTTTCTCCTGAAGGGGGGAAAAAAAAGAATAAAAAGAAAAAACAGTAGTAGGATATTTTTAGGTAAGTTTGTATTTGGAAATTTTCTAGACATTTACAACATAACTCACAATAACTCATGGAGAATGTTTACTATGAACCACACAGTATAAGAGATTATAAGTGTACCAGTATAAATCAACCATTACTTTCAAAATAATATCAATAGTTGCTGTGGTTTGAATGTCGCCCCAAGCTCATGTTGGTGCTTAACCCCCAATATGGTGGTGGAAGGTAGGGCCTTTAACAGGTAAATGGATTGATTGATCCATAGAGTAATGGCTTAATGGGTTGTCATGGGCTTGGACTGGTGGCTATATAAGGAGAGCACATCAAAGAGCTCTTGCCATTCTCGCCATGTGATACCCTGCATTGTTGTAGAGCTCCCACCCAGTAGGCCCTCACCAGATGTGCCCTCTGTACAAATGGACTTCCCAGCTTCTGAAAATGTAAGAAATAAATTTCATTTTCTCACCCAGTTTCAGATATTCTGTTATAAGTGACAAAAATGGACAAACACAGCTACCAGGGTCTCCTTGGTGCCAGCTGGGATTCTCCAATCCATGGATGAGGCTGCCCTCACACCCTCTATGCCCTCACTACAGTTTGCCACTCCCAGGCTCCCTGCTCCTGGCTCCCCTGGCCGGCCTGGCGCCCTGGCAGCTTTCAGTGGCCGCTGCTCCACTGCTCTTGCTGCTGCTCCTGCTGCTGCTGAGCCTCGTGCATGGTGCATCAGCAGAGTGTGTGGTGAAAAATGGCAAAGGGACAGCTTGTATAATGGCCAACTTCTTGGCCGACTTCTTGATGAACTGTGATACTAAGAGTGGCTCTAAGTATGTGAACTTTGACCTGCTGTCAAATGCAGAAGTGCTAAATAGTATCTCTGTTGTGAAGAGAATACTTCTGACCTCAGTCTCATGATTGCTTTTGGAAGAGGACATACACTGACCCTCAATGTCACAAGAAATGGAGCATGTTAGAGTGTCCAGCTCATGAGTTTTGTTTATAACTTGTCAGACACACACATTTTCACCTAATGCAAGCTCCAAAGGAGTCAAGACTGTGGAATCCGTAATTGACATCAAGACAGAGATACATAAAAATACAGGTGTGCTAGTGGCACCCAAGTCCACATGGACAACGTAACTGTCATGCTCCGCAATGCCACCATCCATGAACCTTTCAAACCACAGCATTAGTCATGTCTCAAAGAAATTTAAAAATGTTATTAAAATCCTACTGGGGTGACACTTTATAATAATCTTTATACACAAATATATAAGGACAACTGAGTGACTTGCTCAGAGGCTTCAAAATTGTGAATGGACAGAATGACTACTTTTTCACTCATTTGATTAATAAATGCTATTTCAGTTGTATTTCCACGGTACCTCTGTACTTAAGAGTACGTTCTCTCTTTTGTTTCCTCCCACCATGTGATCTGCTTGTACCTGGCAGCTGCCTGCCACTGTCTGCCATGAGTAGAAGCAGCCTGAGGCCCGTGCCAGATGTAGTTGTCCCAGATCAACATGGCAGAATAGACAGTCCCCCGCATCACTCTCTCACACAGATCAACCAATTTACAACTATGAAAAAGCAATGACAGCCAAGCTGGGGTGACTAGAGCTCAGGGGAAGAGAAGGAGAGAACTATGGAGTTCATGAAGGTGGGAGAAGCCACGATGAGAGAAAGAAAAAACTGTTCCAACCATTTCAAATCACAGCGACTTCCAGGCTGGAGTTTCTGAGCACATGGAGCAGGAGCTGGTAAAAGCTGCAGCTCTGCCCACGGGATGAAGATACTTGGAGGCGGCAGGGGAGAAGAGGGACTTGGTGGCCCTCAGGCCAGCAAGACCACTAATAGGGTTCCTGTGGACCCACATAGGAGCAAGGAGCCAGAACAGCTGAAGAAAAGGAGCCACTCAGAGGCCAGTGAGTCATCTCAAGGGACTGGAGCACGACCCATCCCATGGAAAGTGTTTGGAGGACGGGTGGTGGGGGAGATTGGCCCACTGGAGGAACACTGGGGCACAGCAAGTGTTGGGAAAATGCAAAAAATAATTTTCTCATAAGTCTGTTTTGTCCTTGAAGTAATATTTTGTCTTTGAAACAATGCTCATTACACTAGTCTGGCCTCTAATCACTACTTGCATTTTTGGTTTCTGTAACTGAGCTTGCTTATCTATGCTAGCCTAGTGAATGCTGAGAAAAGAAAAAGAAAATGTAAAAACCCTGGAAGCCTCCACTTTTAAAAACTTTGTGAGACCTGAGCTCAGGGTTCAGATTTTCAAGCATTAGCTTGTCTGGGCCTGCTGGCATAATAAATACCTTACTCTCCAACCCTCCGAGTGCTAACTGCTTCTTGCCAAGCCCATTTCCACAACACAAGGACAGCTGATCTGTCCCCCAATCAGCACAGACCCACTCAGAGGAGACTGGTTAGGAATACAGAATTGCAAGGGATGCAGTTTGATGAAAAGACTCAGGCCCAGACCAAAATTTCTACACAACTCAGGTGCACCAGATCTCCCGAGAGCTGGAAGTACCTATAAAGTCAACCATTAAAACCTGAGCTGCACAGAAAGCCTTCCTTAGGGAATCCGCAGCAAAGCAGCCATTTAGCTCAACCACAGGGATCAAATACTGGTCTCCACAGGAAGTCCCCCCATTGTAGAAGTAAGCAAAGGATGACAAATTAGTTCTAGCACAGAGCTTAAGTGGTGGGAAGAGCAAATAATCCAACACAGAACTGAAAGAAAAAACAAAGCACCCATAACCATAGAAAAAGTTTGATATTAAGTACTAAAGGTCTCATTTCACCAAAGAAAACCTATAACACCTAGAAGGAATGGAAGTCCCCTGGGATACCAAGCCAGAAAGGGGGGAGGGCCAGGGGCCTCATTCATGCCCCCTGACACTGACAATCAGTCACAGGGTGAGGGTGGGCAAAGGGCCTCAGTCACACACCCCTGACACATGTAACCATCCCAGTCATGACCACTGAGCTGCTGCAGGAGGCACCCTGTGCTCGCCCAAGCTGGGGAGGTGGGGGTTGCTGAGGGCCTTGGCCACACTCTCCTGAAATGTGCAACCAGTCCAGCGACAACTACCAAGGCACAGCAAGAAGGGCCCTGGATTCCTGAGCTGGAGTCGTGGGAGGTAAGGGATTTTGCCACACCCCCCCTGACATCTGCACCCATCCCAGCAAAGTCTGAGCCACCACTGGAAGCCCCCTGGTCTCTCTTGTGGGAATGAGGGTGTACCACAGACCTCAATCCCAACCCTCTTCCTTCCTCCTTCTTCCATCCCATTTCCTTCCCCTTTTCCATCTCCCTCTCCCTCCCACCTGCTCTGCAACAACATCATAGAATATAAAAAATATATATATATATTAATAAAAGAAGAGTATGTTCTTTTAATTATGCATTTATCCATGACTTATTGAGAACTATTTCGTTCCAAGGATAACCTGAACAGTAGTCCCAAATATTAGAATGTAAGTTAATTGGGCTGCAACATTATTTTTTATACATAACTGATTGCATTTGCAGGGAATTTGGACTTAATGGAAACATATAAGTGATCAGAATATATCATCTGTTCCTGTGTATCAATCATCATAGTGGTTAATTAGGAAGAGGATGCCCTCTCCAAATCACTCCATGTTCAGAGTCTGATACCTGATACTATGCTGGTATACATTGGAGAGCCCAACGTGAATGTGATAAATTTTCCCTAGGAACCATATCAGAGCATATCCCTGCTGAATCATCTGGGAATCTAGGACCAGCTACACAACCATTGCAAAGAAGAGTGTGCATTGAAGGAACTTAATGAGAATTACTTAGAATTACACCCAGGATTCAAACCCAAAGATCAGGAAGAAGCCAGGGTCTTTTTTCCTATCTCCTTCTTCTGTACTTCTGTTTTCTAAAAATTCAGCCACCAGTTTAAGGTAAGCCCTTGCATTCCACAAACTTGTCCTTCAGGGATATGTTAACATATAACTCCTCATCTGTGTTAGCACCCAGATTGAGGAAATTTCAGGACATAAATATAGTAACCAACCCTCTTTAGAAATTCCTGTGTGGAAACCAAGACTCCACTACAATTTTTATNCAACACTTTTAAGAACTTGGGAACAGTGTTCAAAAGGGTGAACAGAGTCCCTGCTTTCATAAATACTAAATTTGTGGAGACACTTACCCAATCTACTGATAAATGTGTGCCGTGAGATGGTACCATGGAGTAATGAGAGAGAGAGGGGTCAGGGGCAAACGTAGATGGGATTTTTCAGATATGTCCTCTCTAGGAAGGTGATGGGTACATTTTGGACAAGCCACAATATGAAGAAAAACAGATAAAAAAGAAACTGTCGAATACATAATATTGTTAATTCTTTGCATATATTATCCTGTTTATGTATCAAGTGGGTGAGTTAAACTTCATAATTCCCATTTTCAGAGAAATAAATTCAATTTACTTGCTCAGGTAATGCAGTCCGACACAACGTAGAAAAAANAAAAAATACACACATACAAGGTAAGACCTTGGGCAGAAGGTTAAACCGGTATTAAACCAAGTAGACAAATTAAGATATTTTGTTGAGAGAAATAGAATTTCATAAGGGGATTGTCTGACTTGAGCAATTGGCGAGATGATAGTGCTGTATTTCACAATATGAAAGGCAAAGAAACTATAAGATTTGGAAGGACCAAAAACTTCATAGCTGACGTGCTATTTTAAAACATTTTCAAAGCAATATAATGGAAATGTCTAACGGCAGTTGGATAAAGAATGCCAGAGTTCAGAGGACAGTAACAACATGGAAATACAATCTGTGAAGCATCAGAATAAATAATATAACTTTGGAAAAATGAAAGAGACACTATATTAGAGTCCAAAACAAAATCCTGAGGAATCCAACATTTAGAAGTAGAACAGGAGACATTTATAACAGTAACTAAGAATAAATGCTCACAATGGAACTGGGAAAATTGAAGAATGCTAGAAGCCTATAGAAGGAAACACTTTATATCAGAATATAGAACACTTTAAATGAGCTTCTGCAGAAATATTGGAGTGAAAAGAGAAGTGGATCCAGTGAAATCCTTGAGGAACTTCAGTATTTAAGTGGTAGAGAATGAAGAGGAACAATAAAATGTATTCAGACGGAATAGTTGTAGAAAAAAAATAGGAGCCTGTGGTAGCTTGGTGGAGGGGTGGAGAATTTAAAGGATCAAATATGTCAAATATTGCAAAGAAAGCTGATAAAATAAGAATGAACTGTATCTGTTGGAGTTAAAAACAAAGAGAAGATTGGAGACTTTGATATTAAGTGCTGTGGCTGGAACAGAAGCCAGCTATGGTGGTTTAAAAATAACTGGGAAGTAAAGAAGCAGAGACAGGAAATATAATCAATTCTTTTAATGAGGTTTGCTGCACATGGAAACAGCATCCTCAGTGTTCTGAAACAGGTTAACAACTTTGATTTCTCATTTAGAGGGATGGATTTTTAGCCACTGTGGATTGTCTTCATACAGGACTACAGAATTCCTCCAACTTACTTCCTTTGCAGGAGTTTTTCAAT